AATATTCAGCAGATTTTTGAGAATTTGTCATTTCTAATATCTAGCTCCTAAATCTTACATTAGAAATGGCCCTTCACTGTTAGCTTTGGGTAAATCTTTGACCCATTAACTTTGAAGAAAAAGATGAGAGAAAAATGTCATGAGTGTGAGATCTCTCCTAAGCAGGAGAGGGAAGCTGTGAAGACTCAGGGATCCTGGAATCAGGCAGGCTTGAAATAGCTTTCACCATAATTGAACAGAGCAGACACAACCTCAGGAAGACAACACATACATTTTCTCTCTTTAAAATAATTTGGGGCTGAAGAGAGCAAAATGAGTAAGACCTAAATTTGAGTTCCAGAGTTATGTATAAAAAGCCAGGTATAGTGGCATGTGCTAGTGATCCTAGAGCTGACAAGACAGAGACCAGCAGACAGCTAGAGCTTTCTGATAGGTAACACAGTCTATTTGGCTTGTTGTAAGCCATTGAGAAACACTGACTCAAAAAAGGTAGATTTCACCAGTTTACTTCTGACATTCCCATGCGTGTACACACAGGTACACCCATCAGCAGACACAAGTTGTATATATGTACTAACAAACACTCATATCATCCACAAATAAAATATAAGCAAATATATCTCCTTAGCATAACTTCTATTATTTATTTGTCCTCTGAATGTTTTCTAGTATGTGTTATAAGCAAAACACTTAACCGTTCCAATATAGACTTAATATAATTCTTGTGAAGTGGGTGACTACGGTTTTGAAAAAGTTTTAAACGATGAAAATGGGTTAGTTGTTCAGACAGGACTAGTTATTAGTAATATGGTATATGTGAAGGACATGTAAGATGTGCTTGTTGAGGTCTGTTTCAACATCTGCTTTGGGCAAGGTCATAGCAACAGTAGGCAGCTGTTTTCCAACTGAAGTTAGGAAAATGGTTAGGACCGATGAAACCATTTCCTGTAGCCCACAACATAATACTTGGGAACCTGAAAAGCAAGCTACTATTTGCTGTAATCTTAACACATGTTCCCGCTGTACATTCAATCCGAATTAATGGCCCTCTCAAAAATTCTGTTATTTACTCAGTTTCATCTGTTATCACACAACAACAAACCTAGTATTATTTATTGGTAATACAAAAACAGATTTAATCATTTCATTTTCCTCTCCCTAAAATGTGCTAAGAGGTTTTTATCATTATCTCATTTTATTACCCTGTTCATTATTTTACCTACACTGCTTCTGATATGTAACCATCCTTGGTGCCCCCTAGTGGTGGAAAGATACCTTGCCTTCCAATGGCAATCTTAAAAATGTTAATATTTTATAAGATAAGGATTCATTGACTCAAATTATATAGAAAATTAAAGAACCAATTTTACGTTACCCAATGTTGATCTTTCTCAAGAAATAATGAAACTAACATTTCCAGAGATATTCAAAAGTTTTGCTGTGCCATTCAAGTAGACTGAATAATCTCTAATGATCTATATCAAATTTTCCATCTACCTATCATCTATTTATCATCTATCTCCTTCATATATATCATTTCTCTCTCTCTCTCTCTCTCTTTCTCTCTCTCTCTCTCTCTTCTCTCTCTCTCTCTCTCTCTCTCTCTCTCTCTCTCTCTCTCTCTCTGTGTCTGTCTACCCATCTATCTATCTTCATTATCATCATCTACATATATGCAAATATATGAAAAACTATATTGTATAGGTTTTCTATATAGAAAGAAGGCATTTTTACATGCACAAATAATTCCATCATGATTTCAGTACAAAAATCTCTACCAACGAGCTTTAAAGTACTTGGTCCTCGAGCATAATTTCCTACAGTGATAAATTTATCAAGTTTCAATACTGCATTAAATATTTAAATGAAGCCCATATTCAGTCTCCATCTTCTTCCTTATTCTGTGATTTTGATAGAATCATGAAACAGAAATATAGAAACTCATTTAGCATAAAAAGGAAGTTTCGGGAAAGTTTTTAGGGAAAATACAAAGTACTAATGCAATCTAGGATAACACTTTTTTTCTTCAAGGCTGTAACAACATGTTTTTTTATGTTATATTTATATAAATTATAGTTGAATAATCCAAGAATATAAATGTAGTTAGAGGTAATCTAGCAAAATCAGAGGGCTAAAATTCTACATCCAAATTGATAAAATGCATAGGAATAGTGACACTAAAGGCAGGCAGGAGACAGTAAAAGTATCAGTTACAGAATTGACATCAAATTAGTCATTAACAAATACAGAGTTCTTTCACAGAGGCCAGTGGCTTGATGACTTTAGAATTTCTGTGTCTTCATATTGAATTATATGGGCAGTAATAAACCTTGAAAAGCATATGTTCTACCATGTAAACTTGACTTTCTTTAATCAAGTCAGAAACAGAATGACCTCAGTTCCCAGTTTCTGACATGCACACAACGAACCTGTGTTTAGTTAATACAGCTGTCAGGTTCCTTGACCGAGCAGTGTCCTGAAGTACCAGGAAATCTCTGGAAGCAGAACATTGAATCTCTTTATCTCTTCATTGGCCTTCTCAGTTTCTTTTCTTTTTTTCCTTTTCTTACCACTTTGTTCTGGTTTTGCTGATCTATATTACTTTCCACTCTTTACTCACAGGAGAAAGAAAGAGTTGAAGAACACTTGAGAAAGAGCCATTGTCCAATTAGTTGTTGGAACCTCCTTATTTGAACAAACAAACAAACCAAATACAGACAATGTATTTCTGTTGAGGAGTTTTTTTTATATTTATGCATGTATTTAACTTGATTTGATTTTTTCTTTATTTCTTTTTTTATTGGCCAAAGTATACAATTTTAATTTTCCCACTTTTTTAATTAATCAATTTTTTTTTCCATTTATTTTACATCCTGACCCCTGCCGCCTCCCCTCTGTTCTCTCCCCTATTCACTTCTCCTCTGTCTCAGTTCAGAAAGGGGCAGGCCTCCCACGAGCAACAACAAAGTATGACAACATCAAGTAGAGGCAGCACCAAGCTCTTCCTCCTGCATCAAAGCTGAGTGAGGTAATCCAGCATGGGGAGTAGGTTCCCAAAAGCCAGCTCAAGTGCCAGGGGTAAGCCCTGATTCCGCTTCTAGGAGCCCTACAAACAGACCAAGCTACAAAACTGTCACACTTTTGCAGAGGCCCTACCTTGGTCCCATGCAGGCTACCTAGCTCTTGGTCCAGAGTCCCTGAGTTCCTGGAAGCCCAGGTTAGCTGTCTCTGTGGTTCCCCTGTCATGATTCCGCTGGCTCACACATTCCCCCCTCCCTTTCTTCAGCAAGACTCTCAGAGCTCAGCCCATTGCTTGGCTGTGGATCTTTGCATCCGCTTCCATCAGTTACTGGATGAGTATCTCTGATCACAGCTAGAGTAGTCTGTTGAGTTCTAAAAGAACAATAAAAGGCTGGAGACATAACGTAGCAGTTAAGAGCATTTGCTGTTCTTGCAGAGGGTTAAGTTCCAAAGGAAGTCTCACAGTCACCTGAAACTCCAACTCCAGGGGATTCAACAACCTTTTTTGGCCTCAAAGGGTGCCTCATATATCTGCTGCACATAGAGTCACACAGACACACTGCTACACATCAATAAAAGTAAGTACACAATGATAGATTACAGATAATTTGTCATTTTCTCTAACAATTGATTTGTGACTTAATATGATGTATCACACAACTTATGCCTCAAAACAGAAAATTAAAGATTTTATATTTACAAATTCTAAAGAAACCCTTTTACTAATTACAAATCTGTCTCAGTGCTCTTGATAAACATCTCCAAAAAAACCTTTTTTGTCTTCCAGTAGAATATAAAAGAGGTTGTAAGGCTATACTCAGATAAATGGAAATAGCAAAATAGAATATTCTTGAAAAGTTGTAGTCTGTGTCATATTAGATCCAGGGGGAATCAAAAATGAGTTTGAATCACCAGGCATGGTGGTACATACCTTTAATCTCAGCACTCAGGAGGCAGAGGCAGGTAGATCTCTGTGTGTTCAAGGCCAGCCTGGTCTACAGAGTGGGTTCCAGGACTGGCTCTATCGCAATCGAGAAACCTCATCTTGGAAAAAAAGAAAAAAGAAAAAAAGAAAAAAAATGAGTTTGTAGTAGAAGTTATCCTGTGTCCCAGCCTGCCCGTGGTCAGGACAAATCCCTCTCACCTGCCAGTCCTGCAGCTGCTAGAACCCAAGGAAACACACAATGGTTGATATCATTTACAAACCATATGGCCATTAGCTCAGGCTTATTACTGACTAGCTCTTACACTTAAATTAACCCATAATTCTTATTTATGTTTAGCCACATGACTTGGTACCTTTTCCCAGTTCTGCCTTCACATTTTGCCAGCAGCTGGCAGAGGCGCCTGAATCAGCCTGCCACTTCCCAGAATTCTCTTCTCTCTTTGTCCCACCTATACTTCCTGCCTGGCTACTGGCCAATCAGCATGTTATTTTTTAACCAATCAGAGCAACATATTCACAGCATACAGATATCCACAGCATGAGTTTGAGTTTGAAAGGATTCCAAGGTTAGAACTTTCCTGGGAGTTAAGGATAGAAATATTTACTTCAGAGATATATCATAAGCACAGGGTTTTAGTACTCCAGCAATAAATGAGTTTTATGTGCTGTCTTGTGCAATTCAGACTTTAAATCTCAAGTGGAGAATTAAATGGGAGAATATATTATCAGTGAATTTAGAACTGAAGATAATAGAAGAAGAGGATATAGGTGAGGAAGGAATAGGGACAGGATGACCAGTCAGGTGATTGCTGTTTTAATTTAGTTTATAAATGATACAAAGTAAAGTAAAAATATTAAAATTGAATGAGAACATTTTCATGAAATCATACTGAGTGAATCATCAATAGATGTGAAAAGGTGAACATATTAGAAGACAGATGGTCTTGTATTTTCTTCTAAGACAGCTACACCTTGGGGGTAAAAAGTAGCTCAAGAATGGATGGCAGATTATAGAGTAAAGAGCTTTTGAATGTCAGGGTCCTGTTGAATTTCTTACTAGATTTACATACACATTCCTGGCATTCCCTGGGAGTGTTCTCTGCTGCAGCTCATTTCTATTTCCAGTTGAATGATTCCTTCTCTTTGCATCTTCTCTGGTTCATTCATCACTGCTTGATGTGTGAACGGAGAAAGACAAGAAGGAACACATGGTACCGAGTTTGATTCAACAGATGAAAGAAATAGCAGAGCCATTGCAATACATTTTCTGTTTCAAAGCCCTGTTAAAGTGATTAAGTACATAAACGTGTGCACTCATACGCATCCCACGCTTGAAGCCCATCATCTTCCACAATCCGTGCACTTAAATTATCACCACACGATTCTTAAAGCATGTTTATTATGCTTTTGCCAGGGTCACGCTACACTAATCTGGTGATTCTTAGCATCGTAGAAACTTTTGGGTAAGAGCACGGTGGAGCATGATACGTGATTTCAACTCATTTTCACTTTACACTTAACTGTTTCTTTTATTTTGGCAAAGCATTATATGCCTGTAGACATTTTATTTCACTCAGTTCATTTCACATTTGCTATATTTAGAAAATTTGTATGTGTAGACAACCTTCAAAAATTCACATTTTCTACTTTAACTAATTTAGCTTTGAAATAGAAAAAAAAATAGATAACAAGGACAAAATTATTTGAAGTTTGAGTTTTCAAAACAGTTTAAAATGGTTAAAAATCATTTGCATCCAAAAAGCAATTGCCATGTTTGCTAGCTAGTTTTTGTCAACAAAAATGCAAATTATAGTATGGGAAGAGGGATCTTCAGTTGAGGGATTGCCAATAGGAGTCTCTTTGGGTTTTTCTCTAGTGATTGATGTGAGGAGGCCCCGCCCACTATTAGTGATACCACTGCCTGAGCAGGTGGTCCTTTCTGTGTGATAGCTGAGCAAGGCAGAGATAGAGAACATGTAAAGCATTGTTTGCCTCCATTTCTACCTCAAGTTCTTTTCTGAATTTCCTGGATGACAGAATCTACCGCGTAAGATATAAATTGTTAGTGAGGACACGGTGCAATGACCAGAATCATGGATTCATGGGTAGGAGAAGCTTCTTCTTGTAGATATGAGAGAGAGAGAATAGCCAGAAGCATCTGCAAGAGACCAGAGCAAACATGGCTACTTTGGGGATGGGAAGGCAGAGAGGGGAGCAGACTGGCCAAGGCCAGGGCTCTGTCTCAGGAGCAAAGAGAAGAGCCAGGGGAGGAAAACCCTCACAAAGAACAAGCAGCTGCAGGGTGGGATAGGGAAGGAATCTGAGAGCTAGCCTAGTAGTGAGGGAGGCAAGATTGGCCATGTGCTTTAATATACTGATATACATCATAGGTAAGTGTCAATAGAAAGCCCTATATCCCTTTGCAAAAGGTAAGGCAAGATGATATAAGTGGGCCCTGGCCTGCAGAAACTCATTTCACAGGTTCCTGAGGAAGGCTGACTATAGGTATTTATGTACTCACACCCCAGCCATCCTTCAGAATTTAACCTAGTGGAAGGGATTGGGACCTAACAATAACAACCCCTTTCCTCCCCAAGCTGCATTTGGCCATTGTATTAAAATGCACAGCAACAGAAAGCAATCTAGAACTGAAAAAATGTTATTCTGAATGAAAGAGAGAAAAAACTATTTCAAGAACACTGAAATCTAATATAATTCCAACTCTGTAAATGATATTAGTAAACAAATAACTACAACAAAGAATCTGAAGAACCGTGTATTAATTCCAAAGATGGGAAGAGAAAGACCCTTGACCCAAATCATCATGGCCAAATTAATTAAAGCAAGCAATGAATTAAGGCAAGCTTTTTATTTATGTATGTAGGCTGCCTCCCCTTAAGTTAGGGTTCAAGAAATCAGCATTGCATATGAGGAGGACAAGGTTTTTATAGCAAAGGTGTAGGTAGTTTCCAAATTTAGGATTTGACAGGCAAAATAGCCAGAATTACAGGAATAAAACATAAACATAACAAGTTAGTCCTTCACAGGCTCCTGAAACAAAGACATGGTTCCAAGGTGGGCATAACAAGGGAGTTATAACAGTAGGCAGTCATAACAAAGTAGTCATAGGTAGTCATATAACCTTTTGAATCAAAGGTAGGGTTGCAAGATGGTTATAAACAACTTTTGAAGCAAAGACACATTGCTTTTCCTGGAACAGAAAAGTTCCATTCCTTAACTACAAATGGTAACCTTATAACAGAACCATTTGTTCTATAGTTCTGGTTCTGTAGTTAAGGTTACCATTTTTAGTTAAGGTTGCAAGTTGGATATGCCCAAACCTTGAGAAATCCTTGACATAGTGAAAAAGTAATAAGTTTTAGAAAAATAAATTACTCTGGGAATCTTATTAGTTTATAAAGAGTAAAGATGCTAACTTAAGACCAGGGACAGATGGATTTGTACTCAACTACAATAGAATTCATGAACTCACCTGAAAAAAATCCCAGAAAACTTCATACACTTGACCTGCTGGGCTGAATGATCATAGAAACTTCAGTTATTTTTATAGTATTCATGAATTTTGTTATGCTACATAAAAGTTAAGTGAACCTTAGCATGCTAATTGATGTGTTTAATTATAATATACCAATTAAATAGGGAAGATAATTCTTTACAGAGAAAATGCTCATCAAATTGCAGCATAGGCTTAAATATGTAAGAAAACAAAATGCCCCAGATTTCCCTACTAAATGGCATAGCAAATATAATATAGGTCAAATCCAAATATCATGTTAGGAAATTAGTAGCAACTGGCTCTCTGGGAGAAGAAAGGTTCTCCTTTGTATCAGATTCTTTTTTTTTTTTTTTTTTTTTTTTTCCGGTAGCTAAAGAACCACCAACTCTGACTGATTACAAGCTAACAAACTGACCTTGCTGTTGATAGAGTTGAGAAGCTGTACACGCAGAAGATTCTTTTAAGTGCCTCAGGTGCCAGGTTCCCAATACCACAATAAGACTTTATTAATCATATTAAAAAATGCAACCTCTTCCTGCAAGAGACTTGCAGAAAACGTCAATAAATTTAGAGTCATAGTAATTACTAGAATGAGATTTCTATGGGTTTTGGTGATGTACTCTGGCTTATTTATGTAATATATGTTGGGTCTTCATTTCCTTATTTATAGGATGGATTATTATAAAATATATATGTGGTAGTATGAATGTAATTAACCCCCATAAGATCTTAGGAAGTGGCAAGAATAATTCTATCTTAGAGTTCCTATTGCTGTGAAGAGACACTATGACTGTTTTTTTTAAGACATTTTCTGTTAAATTTACATACCAAATACAGATGTCCCTCTCCTCTCTGCCCCAACTTCTCCCAACCCAACCCCCATTCCCACCTCCTCCAAGGCAAGGACCCCCATGGGGAGTCAGCAGAGCCTGGTAACATTCCATGGAGGCAGGTCCAAGTCCCTCTCCCTGAACTAAGGCTGTGTAAGGTGTTCCACCATAGATACTGGGCTCCAAAACGGCTGCTCATGCACCAGGGATGGATCCTGATCCCACTGCCAGGAGCCCCTTAAAAAGGTCAAGCTATACAACTGTCTCGCCTATGCAGAGGGCCTACTCCAGTCCTATGGAGGCTCCACAGCTATTGGTCCACAATTCATAGGTTCCTGCTAGTTTGGTTTGGTTGTCTCTGTAGGTTTCCCCATCATGATCTTGATGCTCCTTACTCATAGAATCCCTCTTCTCTCTCTTCAACTGGACTCCTAGAGCTTGGCTTGCCTGGTGTTTGGCTGTGGATCTCTGCATCTGTTTCCATCAGTTACTAGAGAAAGTCTCTACCATAACAACTAGGGTATTCACCAATCTGATTACTGGAGTAGGTCAGTTCAGGCACGGTCCATGAAATTTGCAGGCAAATGGATGGAACTAGAAAGTGTATTCTGCGTGAGGTAATCCAGACTCAGAAGGACAAGCATGATATTTATTCACTCATAAATGGATACTAGTTGTAAAGCAAAGGATAACCAGGCTACAACCCACAGCTCCAGATAAGCTACTAACAAGGAAACCCCTAAGAGAGATGCATGGATTGCCCTGGGAAGGGAAAATAGATGAGATCTCCATGAATAAACTGAGTGTAGGGGGGAAATGGAGAGTAGGGGATAGGGGATGAGAACATAAGGGAATAGGATGGTGGAACTGGAACAGGGACAGAGTGGGAGAGCAAGGAAAGAGATACCATGATAGAGGGAGACATCAAGGGAAGAGGGGGAAACAGGGTGCCCTTAGCACCCAGAAATAAACAAAGATGACCACACTTTGGACTATTGGTAACTGTTACTAAGGAAAACATTTAATTTTGGTGGCCTACAGTTTAGAGGTCTAGTCCATTATCATCATGGAAGGAATGGCAGACTGTAGTTTGACATGGTCCCAGACAGGGATCTGAGAATTACACATCTTGATCTGAAGGCCACGGGAAGTTGACTGAACTAAGTGTAGCTTGAGCATGGAAGAACTCAAAGTCTGTACCCAGTGACACACTCATTCCAACTAAGCTACACCTACTTCAGTAAGGCCACAAGTCCTAATCATATCATTTCCTATGAGCGTATGGGAGCCAATTATATTCAAACTATAGCAATATGTAAGATAATGCATGACATATTAGTAAACACTAGCTTACTCTTTCAAATTTATTTCCATTAATCTTATAATTCTAAAACCTATATTGGTTCTATTGTCAGGTATATGAAAATAAATGAAAAATAACGAGAATTTATAATTTTTTTAGTTTTTTATGAATTATGTGTACATGTCTGTTGGGGAAAATGTACGACAGGGAGTATATATGACTAAGAAGAGGCAGTAGGGTCCCCTGGGGCTTTAGTAAAAAGCAGTTTTTAACTGCTGTGTATATATGGGTACTGGAATCTAACTGAATTCAGGTCCTCTATAAGAGCAGCACATGTTTTTAACTTGCAACTTCCAACCTTGTGTAGTTGAAATACAGAATTTTAGAACTGGAGATTCTCTAAGGATAGATTTTTTTAGATGCTGTAAGGTGAATTTTCTCCAGGGCACATGGATAATTTGCACTGATATCACAACTGAGGTGATTTATTTTACACATCAAAACACACAGCCTTGCATTAAATGTTTCACAGAAAATGATAGTTAAATCTACTTATAGTATCAGTCTTAGTTATAGTTTCTATTGCTGTGATAAAGCAACTTGGAGAGGAAAGGGTTTATCTTATTGTTTATAAGTTCATCTCCAAGGGAAGCAAGGAAGGAAGCCAGGTCAACAACCCGAAGGCAGGGACTGGAGCCGAGGCTATGAAGGAACACTGCTTACTGGTTTATTCCTCAAGGTTTACTCATGAAACTTTCTTCAAAAACCCAAGGCCACCAGGCCAGTAGCCCCAACACTCAGGATGGACTGGGCCCTACCACATCAGTCATGAATTTGAAAAAAATGTCCCATAGACTTGCTTACAAGCTAATTTGATAGGTGCAGTTTTCTCAATTGAGATTCCCTCTTCTCAAATGACTCTAGATTGTGTCAAATTGACATAAAAGTAGTCAGCACAGTCTCCAATGAAGGGATAGAAGCAGATTTAATATAGGTAAAAAGTACATTGCTACAAAATAACAGGGCTCTGAAAAATAATGGAAAAAAAAAACAATTAAGAAAATAGGTCCAGTACAAGGTCATAAAATCTTTCAAGCAACATGCTGAAAGTACACTGATCTATAATTGTGTATATTTTCAGGAAAGATAGCCGTAGGTTTTCAGGAAAACTGTGGGTTTCCTTTGATAAATACTGAATGATTTAAAAAAATATTTATCTAAAACAACATTTTAAAAAGAAACTGGAGGATTTCTGAGTACAAAATTCATATCCATTGCTTAGTGGCATTAATAATTTATTATATGGTTACATCAGTTCTTTAGATATTAAGACTTAGAAATAAAGATGTTTGTCTTAGTTTGTATAGATCTAAGATAAGTTTGTAGGGAAACAAAATGAACAAAGGTGTAAAACAGTGACAGAGGATTCCATTTTATGAATGTTTGTTAGTGTAGAGATGCAACCCTTGTCCATAGCTAAGGTGCCAGTGAGGACACCAGTCTGTTGATAATTTATTTGCGATATTAATGTGTGAATGTTCACAGCTGACCATTCATGTGTTCTAACACATCTCCTTTGCAAGAATACCCCAGTTAATTAGCACAAGGACAACATGATCTCAATCACAAATATTCTCTTCTAAAAGTGAATAAATGAGTGAAGTTGAGCTTAAGAAATTATATATATAACAGGAGAAAGATACATGGGATGTTAGGATTTGGATCTGAACTCTCCCACAAAGTACTGTGGTCTATTCAACATGTGAACCTTGACACGTGTTTTTATTTTAATTTGCTTTCTAGCCCTCATGAAATGCTTTTAGGTCTGTGTTGTCTTATCAAACCATTCTCCACAAACCTATCACAATGGGGTAGGGGCTGGGTGATGCTATCAACCAAAACCAGTCTCTGTCCCTAAGCTGTTAGAATAAGGTATTTGTCATTGCAACAGGAAGCTGATAGGTCCTCAGTAAAAACTCTTGCTGGCGGATCTCCTCTCTGATTTCCTCTCCTGTTCTCTCTCTCTGAAACCTGAGTAAGTTGTGTGTGTGTGTGCATATATAGGATATATGTATATATTACACAACATACACACACACACACACACACACACACACACACACACACACACACATATATATATTCTGATAGAGGAGTACTGTTCAAACCCCCCAATTTCAGTTGTTTCTGCTGGCTAAGCAATCCAGATGCAACTTTGATTTACATTCTTATTGTGGAATTTTTTAACCTGATAATTCTAATATGCACTTTACTAGTCCCCCTAGGGATTTTTTGCAACCACCTCAAGGGTTTTACATTTTTATTCAAACTTAACTTTACATTGCCTGCCATTTCTCATGAATTTCTGAAACTTTCTTCTTCCTATCTGTGTGTTATTAAGGGAAAAACAGGAGTGGAAAGGCCATTTCCCTTAAAGCATAAATTATCAATTGTAGATATTATAGTGTTATCCCTTTCCTAAGAAGCTATCTAGTTGTTCTAGCTTTTTCAATGGAAGTTTTTAGTATGTCAAGAATTATAAGTCCTCTATAAGATTTTAAAAATTAAAGAATGATTTTTGAAAGTCTGAAATAAACTCATTATATCTAAAATTCTCAAACAGTGTGACCAGGCCATTTTAATACAAAATTAATTTGAAGGAACATCAGTTTGAATCATTAATGGTCTTGTGGTTACAGTATATAATGTGCATATATCTCATGTTTAACTGTATTTCATATGCTTTATCAACAGACTTATAAATTCAGGTTTTCTCATTTCTAGGATTTAAAAATGTTTTCTAACAGTATTCATCTCTGAATTATCACATGTGAGAATTGACAAGCGTTATGCTTGAGTGTATTCTCAGATGCTTCCATTTAGAAATTTTGATTGAAGTCTAAGTGGTCTGCTTAAATTACATTTTCATTTTTAATCTGTACTGTAAATGATTCAAAACTATAGCTCAGGAAATAATAAAATTAATAAATATTAATATCTACCAAGTAAACTATTTTTCCTACAAACAATTGAAAAGACAAAGTAGTTGGTAAGAATAACCCTTTGCAGATATTAAAATCTTTCATTTTGAGTTGCTTCATAAATTAGTAGTAGGGTATACTAGAAGATCTCTTAATATATTTAACTATATTTTATTAACATTGCAAATTATTAACACTAGTTTAAAAGAGCCTTTTAAATGCATTTTTGACTATAAGCCATCTACTTCAAATGAAGTTTTGGTTAAATAGATTGATTTTAATGTTATGGTTTATAAACAATAGATTAAAGACAGATTTAATATAAGATCAAAACTTATATGGGACAATTTGTGTTGTCAACATCAAACATATTCTCTCTTAGGGATTAAGCAACAAGAATATTTAATTATTGCAAATTTGTGTGGGAGTAGTGTATAATATATTATTTATTGTGACATTTCATGCTAGATTAAGCACCATCACACTAATGCCAATGCCATTCATAATGTAAAAAGTAAGACTTCCTAGAGGACAGTTATCAGAATCTTGTTTTCAATCACAAGATGTCTTTGCCAAAATTTTAACTTGTCCTATTATTTTGCTTTAAAGTGGATAAACCATACACTGCATCATCTTTTATTTTATAATATGAATGCTATTTTAAGATCAGATATCTAAGATCAACTTTTATGTAAATACTCCTAGAAAATCTTATTTCCAGAGCTTTTGCCCTAGGATTGTACAAAAATGGCTACATTCTGTAGGTCTACATTCTTTAATAGCTTAGAACATAGAGCCTTGATACAAAAGCAGCATGGGATTTCCTTATCAAGATCCTGTTTAGGAGTCATGTCTTTTTATCTCATTCTTGTTCACATTCATTCCTCACTACATTTTCTAAACTACTGCTTTTCTAGTTCCTGAAACATAAAAATACTTCAAAAATAAGGTAGAGGCAAAATACCAGCATTTGATTTATATTTGTACTTTTAATCTAGTCTATTTTAAAAGAATGATATGAAACCCTATCAGAAAACTCATAAAAGCTGCTCATATCTGGACAGGGTAGTATGACATAAAGTGCTGAAGATTCTAATCATGCCTTTCAGATTAGCTGACTTTATTTTTTCACCTTTACTCTTACTATTCTCTAGTTGTTGCTGCTAGGTGCTAATCACACAGGGGGAATTACAGACCGGTTCATTCTCTCAAGACTCTTTAAGCATCTAAAGACATACATAATAAATGATGCCACCATCATAAAACATGGACTGTATTTTTTCAGCCTAGAAAAATGTTTTTAAATTCATATACCTTTAATATTCACTTTCAAATATCTTAATACTTAGAAAATCATAGCTATTTTTAAAACTACTAGCAGTATATTAGTAATGATATTATTATACTGAGTTGTCTTTTTAGCTTTATAGTCAGCACTGATTAATCAATGAATCTCCAACTTTGATGCTCTTTCCAATTACTTAGGCAGTTCTTTCAAATCTAGATCTTTTACATTCTTATTCTATAGGTTGTAATGTTAGTGTTTGTAAAGTTGCATTTAAGATAAACCTATGGTCGATGTGTCTCTGTTTTTTACCTAAAGACTACAGATTGCTAAACTCAATACTAAGTCAAATAATTGATATCAAATCTTGTCTAAGTATCAGTAGATAAAGTGCTTTTACAGTAGGAAGATTGACAGTGAGGCCCAAGTCCAGTTTGGGTCAAACCTTCTTCTTCAGATCTTTGTAGAGAAAACCAGCATAAGGAAGAAAAGTGTTTTGTAATTCAACCTACCTGAGGGCACTCTGCTTACCTTGAATTTCTGTTGGCTTTATGGATGTACATATTTATCTTTGGTTATCGTCTGAAAAATGCGTTCACTTTTCTGAAATAGGATATATTTCCCAATAATTGATGTCTAGAGTATATTTTACATTTAGTTCTGCCATTTATTGTGAAGAAAATGAATGATGGGACATGGATGCCTTACAGTACTTTCCACAGGGAGCGTCTGAAGAGATGGTGATAAATTTGAGGTTCCTATTTGAATATTGCATAGGAGGTATCTTAGTTAGGGTTTCTATTACTGTGAAGAGATGCCACGACCACAGCAACACTTACTTTGTTTTGTTTAACCATTTATAAACATTATTAAAAATTGATTATGGTAGCTTACATTTTCAGTGGCTTATTCCATTATCACCATGGTGCAACATCATGGTGGCATATAGGCAGACATGGTGATAGAACTGAGTCCTAAAACTTTTTTTTTCCCTTTTTCGAGATAGGGTTTCTCTGTGTAGCTTTGCGTCTTTCCTAGAACTCACTCTGTAGTCCAGGCTGTCCTCGAACTCACAGAAATCTTCCTGCCTCTGCCTCCCGAGTGCTGGGATTAAAGGCGTGCACCACTACTGCCTGGCTGAGTCCTAAATCTTCATAGACAGGCAAATAGAAAGTGATTTGTCTCACTAGGCTTGAGCATATATGAAACCTCAAAACCTGCTTCAACAATGATACACTTCCTCCAACAAGGGCATACCTCCTAATAGTGTCACTCCCTTTGGGAGGCATTTTCTTTCAAACTATTACAGAAGGGTAGTGAACTATAGACTGAACTACTTCACACTGAAACATGACAAGAGTTCCATGGCAAATCAGATTAAAAGCACAAGTGACAATTTATGATGGAGAGTTTGTGGAACAAGGAGAACACTCCTCCATTGCTAACTTATACAGCCAATTTGGAAATCAATATGGCAGTTTCTTAGAAAATTGGGAAACCATCTACCTTGAGATCTAGCAATACCACTCTTGGGCATGTGCCCAAAGGATGCTCAATCATATAACAAAGACACTTACTCAATGCAACAGATTTTTTAAAATTATGTTCTCAATTGGACAAATTAAGGAACAGAATCTATCTTACATAAAATACTCAAACATTGAGAGAAAAAAGTTAGGTAAAAGAAGATATTTACATTTCTTTGAACCATACTACTTAATACTTAAATATAAATAGAGTAAATCTCATATTTGGTTACCAACATTAAGGAAGTAGATGAAGCATCCACTTTTCTTGTATGTGTACCATCTTGTATGACCTTGCATATGGGTTTCAGTATTTAAAGTTGAGTTGAAAATTTAAAGGTAATTTTGTGAACCTCACATCTCTATTAACATAACATACTTCATATAACAATCATAATAAATGCTTTTATGGTTATTTGAGGAACAGAAAATTCAGACTTAATAGCCAAGCCACTCCAAAGAGGAAGGTGGATACCTATCAATATTTTAGATGTACTAATTAAAGGCATTTCAGAATTACATGTTTGAAAAAGACTTTGAGGAAAGGAGTATGCATATTAAAGAATTTGAAGTTGTAAGATAGACAAAGGCAGTGGATTTTGGGGGGTTTACTTGAGATTAATCTGCTCTCAGGTCACCCTTTATAATTAAAGTCATAATTTTGGTTTTTGTTCTTGCTTTTGTTACCCTGTTGAGAAATGTTCTGATCAAATCATACTCTGCTACTTTTTAAACATTCTACAGAATTCTTTAGCTTACACAATAAGGACACTAAATATCCTGATTCTGCCACTGGTCATGCTAATTCACATTTCTGGGACCTTGAGGGTTCAACTACGGTTAAAAAAAAACAAAAAAAAAACAAAAACAAACAACAAAAAAAAACATAGTTGAGGAACACAGTCCCTTCTGAAAATCACTCAGCCTTGATGACCACAAGGCTCAGTGAAAAACCTGCTGGCTCCCTGGAATTTACATGTACATTTCCATTATTTTCTGAGTTTTCCTCAGCACAACAATCTCTTGTCCTGGTTGGTTCAGAAATAAAGAAATGCACATGAAAAAAAAATGGAGCATTTGCTCTTAAAAAATGCTCATCAGTTATTGCTTGTTGCCTTGGTATATTTCTTTACACGAGTGTTTCTATTTTTAAGAGTGTAGGCAATATTTAGGAGCTAATTTAAATTATGGTTGTCATCTCTTCATATTAATTATTTAACATGTAGAAATTAATTCATGCAGAATAATCATGTTTTCAAAGCTCAAGCAGGATGCAAATCATTTATTCTCTTGCATTCTGTCTCAGGTTGAATATTGATTACTAAAAGTTATTCATTTGTACTAAGTTTGCCATATGTCCTAGAAATGTACATGCAAACTAATTACCTATTACTGATGGTCTTGCAGCTTTTCTTTTTCATGTGTCATTCAGTGAATTTGAAATTCGGGGCACTGAGCATTGTTAATAGTACGGTGTTTTGCTTCATTTACTGTTCTTACTTCGGTATTGCTTACAAGTGAATAATTACTTCATGTAGACTTTTGTATAGGTTAAGTTGAGCTGAACAGCTTACAATGCAATAAAAGAAAGCATGACAATCAAATGAATAAACACAGCATGTGAGTTCCTTTCTTTTTAACCAGTATGAAGGCAGTAAGTATTGAAACAAAGACTTGATTAATCTGTTTTCTGACTTTTCTGTTGGTATCATTTTACATAAAGAAGAAAGCAGAAACAAACAAACAAACACAAAAAAACCTGTAAGTTTGCTTATCACTTAATGGTGACAGAAAAAGTTTCACCTCATGTTTTTCGCTTGAGAGGCTGAAATTATAAGAATATGTACGATTTTTGTGCAAATAAATACACATATAAATATACATCGAATGTTATATATTATTTCTACATTTAAACTAAGAAAGCTTTTTGATTGTTTATACAACATAAACAAGCATATTTAAAGTTTTTTAAATTATAAATGTATTTACAAATAAATGCATATGAGTCTTACATTATTTGTACAATTTATTTTGTTTTAAATTTTCTTAAAATATTTAAGAATAATCAAAATCATTCCTATCATCTAATACCAGAAACAGCTTAATCATTCACCTCTTAAATGAGACCCTAATATTTTCATATATATACAAATTGTAAAAGCATATGGATAATTTATTAATTTTGACTCAGGCTCCTTTCTAAATTTGTGTGAAGCAGGGTGGATAAGATACAGATACAAAACTTTAATAAAAAATCTGAATTCTAGCTGGGTGTGTTGGGGCAGACCTTTAATCCCAGTACTTGGGAAGCAGAGGCAGTGGATCTGTATGAGATTGAACTAGCCTGAGTTAGACAGTAAGTTTCAGGACAACCAGAGCTACATAGTGAGATCCTCTATCAAAACTAACAAAAACAAAACACTCAAAACCAAAACTACAGCAACAAATATCTGAAATCTAAAATGGTTTATAATCTGTGATTTTTGTAGTCTGGCACCAAAAGTGGAAAACTACACACAGGATCTGCTGAGATGAGTAACACTCAACACATATGTACTATATGTGGATTATATGAGACTATAAGTTTTATGCAAACTGTAAATGAATTCAATGTCTAGACTTGCATCCCACCTCCAAGTAATCATTTTGTTATATGTATTCAAATATTCCAAAAATCTGGAAACAGTTGTAAATTCCTAAACACTTCTCATCCCAAGGCTTTTCGATGCTGGATACTCAAGCTAAACTTGCATTGGCTTGCTTAGAACAAGCTAAATTTCCTGGAGATGCACTGGAAAGACCCATCTAGGCCTTACCCTCATCATGCCACCTTAGACCATGAAGATCTCAGAAAGGACATGGGATTGAGACAATGGCTGTGGGTGTTCCCTGCAATTAGTTACTTAGTTACATACTCTGTTTTTTGCTTTTTTTTTTTTTTGTTGTTGTTGTTAGTTTGTTTGCTTCCCTCTAGAATAGATGTGGTCCCTGTGTCTGCCTATGGTTTGAGATTAACACAGCCCTATTGACAGTTCAAAAAATATTCATCTGTCATTACTTCAGTATTGACTTCATTTGCTAAGTGTAGGCTCCTGTTAATGATCTGACCACGTGGCGCCTTTGATGATCTCTATCCACTCCCAGAGATTTTTAACCACTCCCTTAATTCCCTCTATGAAGATGGCCCATTTATATTATAGTAAGTATACGCAATGGCTTCTGTATCCATGAGCTTGTAATTGTCATACCCTCCAGTACTCATTTTCTTTCTTTCCCAACTTCCAACTTTAATTGTTGCCCCATCCTTATGTGCACAGAAGATATTTTAAAATTCAGGTGAGAATGAGTCTCTGTAGAGATAAAGGATCCAGAAAGAGGTCACAAAAGTGGGTGGGTGAGGATGTACAAGGCAAATGTGGGGAAAGCAAGAGAACACAGAAGGGACATGCCGGAGGTATAAGGGTAGTGGGCAAAGCAAAATGAGTGTAAAAATGCTATGAGCAAACCAGCTATTTAAACTTAATTCAACACGTTAACATCTACACATGATGAAGCTCACAAGCATCATGCACAGATGCATAAATACCATGCACATAAATGCAAAAGCAAATAAAATAAAAAAACAACAAAGGGACCTGATTTTTAAGTTTTGATATAGAGAATGCAGTCAGCAAGTCAGAATATTACAGTGGAATATTTCAAGACATGTGTTTTAAATTATTTGAGAAATTATTAAGTTGGTCTCAGAATCTTGAAATATTACTCATGAAAACCTGAAAGTAGCTTCCATAATACCACTGATTTGAGTTTGGAAGAATATTTATTTTGTATTATATGTCAACCTATAAAATTTCTACATATATTAGATTCTAAGAACAATGATTAAAAGTTTTAAAACTTTACTTATACAATTTTAAGTCCAAATATTGAATCACTCTTTCTAATACCATAAGAAATCAATAAAACATTACCTTTTTGTTTGTTTGTTTGTTTTTCAAGACAGAATTTTTTTGTGTAGTCTTGGGCCTTGGCTGTCTTGGAACTCACTCTGTAGACCACAGTGGCCTCAAACTCACAGAGGTCCTCCTGCCTCTGCCTTCCCAAGTTCTGGAATCAAAGTTGTTCACCACCAC